GCCTACTCCCCCTCCTACACCACCATCTCCCGAAGTGTAATGCTTCGTAAAGTCATAGCCCAGTGCTTGTGCGCCCTGCCAGGAGAACCTTTTTGTGAGCCTAACTACAAAACCGAAAAGGAATAACGATCAAAACGTCAGAGTGGCCTGTCATCCAAACTCACCTTGCTCAGTTCCTTCAGCTTTTCTTGATCCGATTCAGCGTCTTTGCAAAGCTTGAGGAACGGGTCGGAAGCCAGCACCTCGTCGGGGTGGACGCTGAACATGCGTCGCAAATTGTCGCTGGATATCGGGTCAATAATGTCTTGATACTTCTGTCGCCGCACTTGGTCGTAGACTTCCAGAATGCTCCGGCTCGCCTTATTGCGATGTATCCCGGACAAACACTCGTAGAGACCTTCGACGTCGACGATGCCTCCGGTGAGGCCGAGACCCCCACTACCATGACGATCGTCAGCACAACCTGCGCGCTACGGGCCACGGAAATTACCGAGCGAAAAGAGCAAAGATGCCTACAAGGGGTTGCAGAGGTGCGCTGCATCTGCAGCGAGCAAAATCCGGCCGGCAATCATTCTCTTGGCTAGCCGTTGATGGACCTTGTATGGGCTGATACTAACGAGCTTGTACTCGTCCGGTTTAGGGTGTCCAGGTAGTATACTTCTAAACCTCTCCGGCTGCCTGCCGAGAATCTCATCGGACGTCGACCCCGTGGCTTCGCCATACGTTACACGCCATAGGCCATCTTTGGTGATTTTGGCCGCCATGAACCAGTCCTTCGAGTCTAGAATGAAGTTCGAGTCTGAGTACCCAAAGCGACTAAAGTCGTAGTAGACCTGTGAGATCATCAGTTCGTCGACCTGACACTTGAGCACCCGGACTTCTGGATGGAGAGGACCACATCGACAACGGGCCGAAAGAGGGTATAACCTACGTTTGTGGCCACGATCTGCTCATCCCATGTCTTGCCTGGAAATTCGTTCCCAAACAGCGATCGCCGGACAATACTGTTAGCCCCGTCGCACCCAATAACAAAGTCCGCAAAAAGTTGTGACTTGTCCCCTGTGTCCCCGTTCTCCACGTCGACGCAGGCACGGGAATCGTCCTGACCGATTGCTGTCACCCGATGATGAAACAGGTACGTGACTGATGGTAGATGCTTCGAGTGATCGTAGATCAACCGCGCCAGGTCGCACAAGGGCAGTGCAACCATGCGATCTGGATCATCACCGTCAATCTCGTTGCTGATGCCCGCAATGCGCGTCCCGTCTGGCTTGCGCCATGCGACTCCATCGGGAAGAAACCCGTGTTTCCGCAGGTCGCCCCCCAGCCCGGCGCGATTCAGGACCTTCATCGCCGGTGAAGCGTAGTGTGTGGCTCTCGGCTTATCGTCGAGCTCCAAAGTCTGCTCGACGATCGTAACGGGAATGGCGTCCCGACCCAGAAGCAGCCCTAGCAGCTGCCCAGCAGGGCCGGCTCCGACAATGATAACCTAAACGGTATGCTCAGTCAAAGTTTGATAGTGGATAGGCCAGCGTGTTTACATTTTTCAGCCCTGGGGACATGGCTAGCTAGTCAGGAGGGGGTGGTGTGCTTGTCAAAGAAGGTTCGGTCACCCAATTGTTATGGGGATATTGCGAAAAAAAAAAAAAAAAAAGAGGCTCGGGAGGGTTCACGCGAAGATAATTATCTGGTAAATTTGATGTACGGTGTATCCGTACGTGTAATGATATGTGCTTCAGGTCAAATGTAAGATACAGCAGGGCGTGTGCATCTGTGACTATACAGAGTACACTCAGGGCCTGTTTTGAAGTAAAAGAACCTTTGCAGTTATGAACTCGTTGGAAGTTACACTCGATGATGCGTTGCTCACTCACTCTACGTCTCATGTGAATACCGCATGATCCCCGTTCCCCCGCGCCCATCACCGGCGCGGGCACCGGAACTCCTCCACATCCAGGATGAACGCTCGCCGGACGTGGCCTCCACAAACACCCGTGGACCCCACCATCCATCACCCAGCGATGTAACAATGTTGTGTGTGTCCCCCACATGGGGTACTATCTAATTAGATTGCCTTAGTTTTCTCTTCATCAGGCACCTAGGTGGCCCACTGATTGTTGGCCTGACTATTTTCGGCATGGCTGTATTTCAAAAATCGAACGGTTTGCGGAGTCTCTTTGTCAAAAAGCAGCGAGTTAAACCCCGCAACCGTCGTCCCGTCGGAAAGAGGACCCATGTGAGGCAGGTGGTAGCATTTTGAGAGGCCGGCACGAGCAGGCATACGGACATGGCCTATGAACGCACGTATCGGCAGGGCAAGCCACAAGCACATTTTAGTCTAGTTTGGCATCAGAGCGATCCAAGATGCTGTCAAGTCTGGTCGGGCGAGTCATATGTCTCCGATTCTGGGCAGTACCAAGAATAGCGGGAATCTGGGAAATCAATTCTGGAGAGACTCGCCAAACTTTGGAAATATTGAAACTACTAGACTACTACTGAACTACGGAGTACTACTCGTACGTGTATGCGTGCTACTGTGACGCGCTTCTTGACTGCTATCAGTTTAGTAAGCTAATCCGGCCGGCCGCAAGGGCAAAGAACACCTTATCCAAGATCTCTGAAGGAACCGAATGCAGAAATTCCGCCTGTGCCGATCGTCTTCGGAGCTTGACGCCGACGCTATCAAGTTCTTGAAACATCCCGTAAGGTCCGAACGCTGCATAGCTACCCAACTGCCACGGCTCCTGGGCGTGAAGGAACTCGATCACTGACTTGCGCATCTGCTTTCCAGTCTGTTGTGCACCAGGAGCAAATGAAAGATCAAATCCACCAAAAAGAAAAAGCAAATCCACCGCGTGATGAGCTCCATTTGAGGGTTGCCAGGGATTGCACTCATCAACGAGATATCGATAGGCGGGTTTGTTTGCTGCCCTAAATAGGCGAGCAATGTTCTCCGCTGGGAGAAGAAATTTGTAGTCGTTCATGAAGTCCATTGCCCCTATCTTGGAAGCTGAAGCTCTGTCAGAGTGAATGTTGTAGAGTTTTTTAAGTGTGTCCTGGTGATCGCCGGCATAGTTGAAAGCTTGAGCAATCTCTGAAGCTTCCATTTTCCATATGCCCTCTCGCCAGAGAACGGCCTGTTTGCGAAGGTTAATTGGAAGGAGGGAAACCAGCTCAAGACCATGGGTACAACACATACCTCGTCTCGAACATCACCTATCATCACGCTCTCCGCAGCCCCTATTGCCGTCTCCCACCCAACGAGAGTAGGATCCACTTGAAGGAACCACGAATGTATTCCAGCCAGTTCCATGGCCTTCACCAATTTTTCAACAGGGGCTGTGCTCAAGTCAAAGTCACCCAGTGTACCAAGATGATTCACGAGTGTTTGGCGTATAGCAGAAGCATTTGTCCTTGGCTGAGGAGGAGAAAGGTACAGCGAGCCAGAAGAGAGCAAGACTCTTCTCACTCTGAGGCCGGCTGCTATGTGGGCGTGGCAGTATACCGCTCCAGCACTTTCTCCAGCCAGTGAGACATCATTCTACACAAGCCCGTCAGTGGTCTCCTGTCTTTGACAGATGGGAATGTGACTTAGTACCGGGTCACCTCCAAAATCCGAAATATGATCGGTGACCCATCTCAGGGCCAATGATTGATCTTTCAGAGCGAGGTTACTTGAGCTACTTTCGCTTCCGAACGCGAAGATGTTGAGTCTGTACTGAATTGTCACGACAATGACGGGTTTACTCAGGCTTACGGAGTCTTCCACAATTCTTCTCGTGTCTAAAGTTTGCAGCTGTCAGTGCCTAGTATGCTAGCGCTAATACGACACATTTCACGAAGGACCTTTTGGGTGCGGATAGGGGGACATAGCGGAAAGCAGGGCGCAGTTCGTACCGCACACGCCAGAGGCAGCGCTTCCAAAAGTAACCGCCTGTGAGCCGCCTGAGATGTCCGTGTTAGTCAAAACATCAGCCCCTGATGTTGACAAGCCTACCGTGTATCCAGACCAAAACAGGCAATCTTTGGTCGGTCAGCAGTTCTTGTGATTTGGGCACCGTTACGTCCAAGTTGAGGCATCGAAACTCATCTTCGGCCTCAACGGGTAGCCTGTGCTCAGGAGGTATACGCAATAGATGCCCTACATCAACTTTGACTTGCGGACACCGAGGGCTGTGAATACAAGAACTAGTCAGCCTTCCTTCACCGAAAACTATGGGTGGTGTTCAGACCGAACGTCAAAAAGAACGTACCCAAACTCAGTACAGTTGATGTCTTGCGGAAAGGCCTCTATTGGCTCAGGTTCCGCGAATCGCGAAACAATCTTGCCATATGGGATGCCTCTAAACTGTGCGATCGTCCCTAGATCAACGCCACGTAGAGTTGAACCAAGAGATTTGCTTTCCAGAGTATAGGCCATCATTATCTCAATGGCATAGGAAAGAATAAACAGAGTTACGCTAATTCTGGCAGGATTCCCAACTGTAATCCGAGCTTTAGGTCATCTCCGTGGGACAGGATACACCGGACGAAAGACCAAGTGTCAAGTGGAGGACACTGGATGAGTAATGATGGTTTCCCCGCGGTCAGGACCTCTATCTTCGCAAGTCGACCCCGCATCAGGTGACTATTTCCGCGGCAAAAACACACACATAGACACACATAAACACCCACACCCCCTCTGCTTCGACGTTGAAGTGCAGTTAAACTATCACTTAATTACCAAGAAATCTCGTGATTATTCGCGTGAAGATACTGATCAGGAATCCCGATGGCCATTGAAAGCACACAGACATATTGGAAGGGTGCCACACATGAAATTCTTGAGGCAACCAGTGTTTGGTGTTTTGATCACATATTCAAGGAGTAACGGCCGTTAGGTAGAAGACCAGTGAACGTCCCGAAAATACGGGAGATTCTTCTAAAAACCGATGAATACCACCCGATGCCTTTGACAAGCATACCCTCGCCTGAAGCTCCCGACTTGGTCCGTGGACCATCTATTGATGGAACAGGAATGCCTCCCAACCCTTTAGGAGGGTGTCCAGCCCAATCTTTCCACCCAATTCGAGGAGCAAATCATATCGTGCCGTGCTGGCCCCGGTCTCCTTGTAAGCTCTCGTCCCATCTTGGTACACCACCCGCCCGCCGGCATCTTGAAACCGCTTCCATGGAGCTTGACCATGAACAAAGTCAACTACGTCCGTGACAAATGATTCGGCGGACTTTCGCTGCTCCTCTCCGAGATGTTCGTTATAGTTTTGGAAGAGGAATGCCACGTCGAGGACATGGGTGCTGTAGCCCCTAAATGGCCCTTCCCACGGATTGGGCTCGGCAAACTCCAACAAATAGGAGTCGCCGTGAAAGCTGTTGGCAAATGACTCTGCCGTCGCCCGAAATCCAATATCAGAGGCGAATTGCAGAACTCGGATGAAAGCCTCATCGTCGTTTGTGGTGTCATTAATGTCGTATGCCTGCAGAATCTGCGCAGCAATGCCGGCATGGTGTGACAGAGCTGTGTTGATGATTTGCGTGAAAGAGGCTGCGATGTTCTTCTTGCGCTGGAAAAGACCCATAAACCCAAATATGCTCGCCTGTGTGGTTGGTTTAGTAACATTAAGCCGAGAATGTGACCGAAATGTTGATGGAACTCACATCCAAGGGGGCGTACCCGACCATGACAGCTTTGCAAGAAGTTGTCTTGGGAATTAGCTTCCCAGCTGACGCTATCTCGAACGTCGGCACGAACGGGACTGTTTCTTCATCGAGAACCGGCAGAAATGGAAGGCTTCTGCCAATCTTCGCGGATAGTTCTTCGGGGGATGCCCTTGACAAGATCTTGACACGTTCACTCGAACTCACACCTTCAGCTCCCAAAGCTTTGAGAACGCCTTTGTACGCCTGCTCAGCCACTCCGAGATCCAGGGGTGTGAGAGACGGCGGCGAGCCTCCCAAGATGATGATTTGAGAGGCAAGAGCTTTCTCAGAGTATAATAGACGGCCCGCCGAGACTAGAAAAAAGTAAGAGATGCGGTTTCGGTTTCGAGACCGAAAGGCCGAGGGACCGACGGATAAGACTTACTGCCTCCAGCACTTTCACCTACGACGGTCACACGCTGAGGATTTCCCCCGAATCCCGACACGTATTTTCCCACCCACTCCAAAGCCGTCCTCTGATCATGATGGCCTTGATTGCTCTTGAATCCCTCCTTGCGAAGCTCTTCTGATGTCAAAAATCCAGGGATACCGAGACGGTAACTATTTAGACATGTTAGTGGCGAAACTTAGAACGAGCCATGCGTTGGAAGTATGTTATACTTGATGTTGATAGCGATGATGGGCTTTCCAAGCTTGTTTGAATGTTGGACTATGCGCTTGGTATCATACTGAGGCCACCAGTTGGATCCCGTGCCGAATCCTCCGCCGTGAATAAAAACCAGAACCGGCACCTGTGTTAGATCCCCAATCTCCAGAGGCGCTGTGAGATTCAGATTAAGACATTCAGTCCCAGAGAGACCGGGGAACTTGGGTGTTGGGAGTGACTTCTGGATGATCATGTGCTCATTCTTCACTCCATCTGGGTCGGATATGGCTTGCGGACTGACAGACACGATTAACTAAATGATTTGATATTGCCAAAGAACATGAGGATAACACACCCGTGGTGTGTAGCGTTGAGTCCGCTACCATCATACTGGACAAGCTTTGCATTGTCGAACCAGTGCTGCAGAGTAGCATACTTGAGGCCGAGGAACTGGATAACGCCGTCGGATGCTTGGCCCTTTATTTTCCCAATGATCGGGTGATCGAAGTCTTGGGCAATTGAGGCCATATTGGTTATTCAGTGCTTCCGAACCTCAAAATAGCTGATCAAAGATTTGATACCGATAGATGAGATGCTCTCTTTATCGATGAATTTAATGTGGCTAAGATAATGTACGATCCAGGGTCAAACCGAACGGAGACTTCAACAAAGACTTCGGAAACGGATATCCTCAACTTGACGGCTTGAAGCAGATTCTGATTTATCGCTTTCACTTCGAATTGGTGAATAATGCTGATTCCACGCCCTGAAGGCAAGTGACCGGATCACCCGGAGCGAATCCCGCGATGCATCTCGTCTTGCTGATGAAGCTCCTAATAGCTACCCCACGTTACCCCGCATGGGATTTCAAGCAGCTCGATAGCTCCCCCACATACAGTTGCTGCGAGAATCGCGTCAGCAACGCGTCAAACCATCCATCGCGCCTTGAGCATTGGCTGCGTTTGCTAGAAGGAACGTCATACTGGACTGTCTTCTATGAACCAGGCTGGTCGGTATACGTCCGGCGTCATCGAAGCCTCGCATTCTCTCCAAGTGGTATCATGAAGACTGTGGCACAGCCCGCAGCTCATGCCGCCAGCTGATATTAACTCTAGCGCTAGCCCTATCAGTCTTGTCCAACACTGCTCTATCTGCGCTTTGATACGCTTTGCAAGACTTGATGGTAGCAATGAAACCGAGTCTTATCTGATGATGACGGTGGACTAGTTGCGAGGTTGATTGGCTCGGACGGGAGTGTTCGTAGCAGGGAAGCTCTGCGGAGATATCATGCCCGCATAATTTTATTCATTGGTTTCTTGATGACTGATCACACGCCTGCGGGACGGTACACGTTTGATATACCTCCCCACGTATAGTACAATGCAGATCGCGCCTTCTATGCACTAATTCTGCGGTTGACAGGCAGGCCCTGCAGCCTCCATCTCTCGCTCGTATGCCCGTGCCAATCGCTCTAGAACATCGCCCATCCTGACTGTGATACCCCATACCCATACCTAGTGACACATCGTTAACTGTCAAGTGCCAGAGAAGACAAGAAGTAGATGGAGTGACTTACGTCTTGAAGGAATAGACTGCAGGTTTTAGCCAAGCCTGCAGCGATGGATGCGCTCTCATCTGTATCATAGTCCGATTCCTCTAGGACGTCTTTGATCTTCATGAGAAGGTCTAGTTCAGCTGCACTGGGCTCGATACCTCGTTTCCTATCTAATTCGATTCCATGAGCCCATTTAGTGGTGAATAGTACTATCCAATATTAGTTCATCTCAATGCATAGTCTTCCACCTGTGGAGTAGCGCTTACCATTGTCCCAGGCTGCAACCGCGTGCTCTACGCTCCATCGGAAAGCAGCTGTTTTACGTATGAGCATGTGACCCATCTTCACTGGTAGCTGAATACCCTCCAGCGTCTTCTCGATGGCCTTCACGCAGTCGCGGTTTCTTTCCAGCTTCGTGTTCGCGAACGTGGTGACATTGCTGTCAACGGTACTTGGGTCTTCAGCGAGCAGACAGAGACGATCAAAACTCTTGGTGTTATCAAACAGTCGGATGTAGGCGGCTCTGAGGATCGCATGTGAGCTGAAACACAGCGACGTAATGTCATTGTCGTCCATGTCCTCAAGCTGGCCTTCTCGAGTTTGCTTGAGTAGCACGTGGCACCTGTCCAAAGAGATCAAGACATTTGTCAGAAGAGAGCTCCCTAGAGAGGGTTTCCCGGCTGTTGAACGAAAGGAGAAAACCGCCGATGTTTCCGAAAGTTGGGAGAGTTGCCAGGTGTGTATGAGAATAGCATGCACCAGGATGAGCGCAGAAAATGGTGAGATGTTGTATGATTCGAACCTGGATTCATCGGTGTTCTCGGCCAAGACATCTTCCAGAATGTCCTTGGTGGTTCTCGAGTTTTTCTTTCTGTAAGCGGCTCGCAGCTCTCGCCACTCGTTGGCTGATAACGCATTCCAGAGGTTTTCATCATGGAAGTGCTCAATTTCTAGATCCTGAGTGGCATTGAAGGCAGGACCAAGGCCGTAGATGATGGTGTTGACCGTGTTTGTCACATATATGGCACCGAGAAGTCTTTTCCATGATTCGCGTTGCACCCAGTCTGCCCATGTTGAACTCAGGAGGTCCACGTTGTCTTGTTGCAGCTGGCGCCGCATCTTTGCGTACAACTACAAATATGTCAGCATTGATTCTGGACTCTCTATTGAATGTGATAGCATCACTGGAATATGGGCTAAAACCTACTAAAGTATAATGGCTACACTCCCCTATTGACTGAGCCGCCAAGTCTTTGTCGCCGCTGAATGTCGCGAAGAACGTCAGGAGAAACTTTGTTTGCATGACCCAGAGTGGACAGTCCCTCGTGAGTATCTACAGGATACAAAATCATCAGTTCTTAAGCACGCCTGGAATATGAGATCAGAGAGGTAGCAACTCACTGGCTCAATCAGCCTCAGCGCAAGATCCCAAAGACGCCGGGCTCGACGGCGATCTAAGCGGTAGAGACCCCCAATACTGCACATGGCCAGTATCAGGGGACTGGGAATATCACCATGCGAAATAGTCTGGAGGTGGACCAAGGGCAGGTGGCAATGAAAGCACTCCACGTAACTGGAGAGAAAGCTCTGACAAGCCTTCAACGGAGGGATGTCCTTGGATATGTCAGGCCCAGTAAGTCTCTTATTCACATCTCTGCAAATTGAGTCATGCATAGGCTTGTCCATTGTGAGACTTGGCTTCGTACATCGCTTGTTCTCAAGCAGACGCGGAAGGTTGCGCCCAGTAACGGCTTGGGACGTAGACTTATGGGCTTTTGACTGAGTCTCCTCATTTGCGTGAGGAAGACTCCTCACAAAAGCGCTTGAATTCTCTGGAGGGCTGGCAGTTGAGTCATTCGAAGCTTCAAGGCCAATACCTGTATTCGATAATCCCATCCAATCTGGAGCGTCGAGGAAACCAAAGTCATGTGTGAAGTCGAACGGCTCCTCAGGTATGGGCAATACCGACTGCGAAATTGGATCTGCGAGAAAAGAGTCCAAGGAGCCAAGAGCTGAGTCATTTTCTGGAAGCGAAGGGTAGCCGTTTGGCACATGGCTCCTATTCGTGGTTCCTTCCGTGAGCTGGGTTCGTAAGTCATCAAAGACTGTCCCTCGGGTCATGGGTAGATCTTGGGGTCGACTGCTGTCAAAGATCGTTTCGGGATGGGTGTCGAAAAACATGTCCAAGGCGTCTGCTGAATCCGAAATGGAAATATTGTGCGTTTGTGGCGGAGTGAGAGCCGCTTGCCCGCGCTGCCGCAATTGGTGAATCTCCCTCGAGATGTCCTTAGGCTGCGTTGAGACCACGATGCTATTGGAAACTAAAGTTGACGAGCAAGAGTCTCTCCTAGGGCCATCTCCTAGCGAGGGCTGGCTCAGAGGGGTGCGATAGGCGCGCTGCCGTTTAGGGGCATTTTCCCTTTCACTCGAAGTTGCCTCTGACGACGCATCATCGTCGTCAGAAGGATCATCGACGACTTTACTGTTGTGTTCCGCATGTAGGGTCTTTTCATGCCGCGTGACGAGGTCTCTGTCTTCTCATTAATCTCTAATCATCGCTCAGACAGTGCCAGGCTTTTTTAAGGGTCCCTCACTTTCTTGAGTATGTCTTCAAACAGTACTGGCAGGCATAAGGCTTCTCGTTTGTGTGACTTCGCTCATGACGGATGCAATGCTCACTGCGTTTGAAGACCTTTGGACAGTGGGCACACTTGTAAGGGCGAGCGGTCCTGCGAGCACGCTTTTCCCCTGCCTTTGCCGTTTCGGTCGACGCGACTAGCTGTCCGGGACCATGGACGGGCAAGGATGTGGAGGAGGACATGGGGTACAAAGTTTCTGAGTTTGGTGACGGACGAGAGAACTCAAGTAAGATGTTTGTCGATAAGGTGTGCGACGGGTATCTTGAGAATAAAGTAAGACGAGCAGTAAGTTCTATGGCGTTGTTGGGGAGAATATGGGGAAACGCGACTCAGTTTGTTGGAGTATCGTCCACCAGCAACCAACCAGACCGCATCGTCATTGAGGATCGACATAATAGCGCCAAGACGGACACGGGGAACGCCCGCGGGCCGCCGCAGCGTGCACAATTAGTTGATCAGTAAGTTATTATCAACTCTTCGCTACCATGGCGGTTGCGGGGAAAAGTGTGGGGTTCATCGCATTTGTGTCCACCGGCATTGAGAATATTGGATCTGAGATGGCTTTGTACAAATATGCTGGTTGCTATTGGCCTTAATGCTCCGTTTGACCCATGCAGACGTGTGGCTCCTGTATGTTACAGCTCGGACGAAACGCAACCAATGACTCGAAAGACGGAACACGGGCGGATCGCCCTCCGTCGTTCCCCGTCGCGCTCTTCAGCTACCTAGCTAACTATGGTACAACCATTCCCTTCGTGTCAACCTTGACGCTTCCCAAGTAAAATCCATCTCTTTCTGCTTGAAACCATTCAGACTTGAGAACTTCAGCTCTTCTGTTGTTGCGTGGCGTGAATCGGACTTTGAAGGGTTTGGGGAGTGTATTGATGCCCGGTTCATAAGCTTCATCGGATAGATCTACCGGCAGTTCGTTGCCGTTCGGGTCCAATGCCGGCTCAATCTTGAAGGCCCACAAGATCTTGGCCAATGTGATGAACAGGCTGTTCTCGGCCAGATGCATGCCAGGGCAGATGCGTCTGCCTCCACCAAAGTCAAAATGGTCACGAGCTTGAGCGTCTCCCTGAGCGGCGTAAAAGCCAGCCTTTTCAGGATATGCCAGGTAACGTGATGGGTTGAAATCTTCAGGGTCAGTCCATTTATCAGAGCTGAAATGTAGGACATATTGCGGAATGGCAACAACGGTGTCCTTCGGGATGTAATAGTCCTTATAGACAACGTCCGATGTCGTATAATGTGGGCTTCCTATCGTGGTGACTGGCCGGATGCGAAGGACCTCTTTCCCAGTTGCTCTGATATAGGGCAGGTTGGCTTCGTCTGCAAAAGTTGGCGATCTCTCGTCGCCAATCACTCGCGATAACTCTTCGTTGGCAATATCCTGCACTCTAGGATTCGCCGCCAGGTATAGAATGCAACTGTTCAATGCTGAAGAAGTCGTCTCAGACCCGGCCTCAATCATGGCTTTCCTCGAAATTAGTGCTCCACATGCAATTCATAGGGGAGCTGGAGATGATCCTTACAGCCTGCAACAAAACCGGCCTGAACATCAGTAATGCCGAGTTTCTCAAAGTCTGACTCCATGAACTGCTTCACGAAGCATTCAGGGGCTTTCTTTTCAGCCACTGAAGTCCTCAAGCCATCCCAGTAATGCATCCAGATTTTCCTCTGCCTTCCGTACGCTCGAATGGCAGCCGGGCGCCACCACTGGAGAAACGATGGAAGATTGGCAAGAGGGGGAAACATGTCAGCGATGTAAGCGCCAGGCTCTGCAACTTCGGTGAAGTCTTTCAGAAGGTCGTAAATCTGGCGCACATCTTCGCAGTCCTGCATTTTCAGACTAGCGGTTAGTTGTCCTCTTCTTCGAAGACTTGACACAGAGACAACTACGTACCCACTTAGGAACACGGAGTCCGTATGTACTCGTAAGCACAACCGATGTCGTGTATCTGCGGACATGCATATAGAAACTCTCTTGGTCATTATTATCGGTCGCGATATCGTAGAGGAGTTGCTTGGCCTCAAACTCTTGTGATGGCTTGTAGGTGTCCGAAGCTTTTGGCGTAAGAAGCTTGTGCACAATTGTTCGCAATTGCCGCCATTTGGATCCGTAAGTCAAAAGTAGAAGCCTGTTGCTCCCGGACAGAAGGTCAGAGAGTACCGGCATCGGTGACCTTCCAGAGGTTTTTGCCGATTGTTTGTCAAATATTTCGCGTACTGCATCTGGGCTGTTGACAAAAACCCAATTTTCCCAGCCGAGGCGAACTTTGACAATTTCGCCATAATCTTGAGCCCATCGCTGGACTTGTCGATGTGGTGCTGAACCTAGTTGTGGCGCGTTACCTAACAAAGGCCAACCCTTTGGCCCTGGAATGGGCTTATACCCCTTCGGAGTGGCAGTTGTTCTGCTCTTGATGTAAAAGTGAGCAACAACTATGGTAATAGAGAGAAAACTTAATAGCTTGAGTAACGACATCGCGTATAATCACGTTGTGATAGCAATTAAAGTCTGCCCTGCCTGTTCGAACTCAATGTGAAATTGTGCAGACAACAGTCTAATAGCCACCTTTCATAACAGGTGGTGTTTCTTAGTCCGGGACACTCTATGCACACCGAACCGTTGTGCCCGCATTGGAGCACGAGCCCACTTCGGCGACTTTGTCAGTCATGACAGAGCCACCACATCCCCGCACACTAAGAGACATGTCTGGACTGGAATCCCACACAGGTCGTCTCAGCACGACAACGAAGCTCTCCGGGCCTCCACACGCTCCAACTTACAAACTGCCGCAAAGGCCGTGTGGAGTAGCTGCTCAAGCTCAGATAGCTCCATGTGGGGTGAAGCTTTCAGCAACGGACAGGGGAGCATTTCGTACAAAAGCGATAGATAGCTCCATTGAACCGTCGTCATCGTCAGCCCCTCACCAGCAACCCCTCCTCGCATTCTCAGAGCTAGCTTTACTTCACAATGGCAGCGCCAAAAGATCTCAAGCCGAAGGACTTCCAACACGCCTTCCACTGGGCGGCGACGCAGCAAGACGGAGCAGTTCCCTCCTTTGCGACGCGCCCGAACGATCCGTACGCTTATCAGCCTGGATTCAACAACAGCTTCGAGTCTGAGGCTATCGCTGGCACGATTCCAAGAGGCCAGAATAGCCCGAGAAGCATCAGATATGGATTGTACGCCGAACAGGTGACGGCTTCGGCCTTTGTCGCGCCCAGGCATTCCAACAAGAAAGCTTGGCTATATCGGTCGCGACCCGCTGTTGCTCACCAGGGATTTGTAAGTCCTCAATTCTTCAATCGGTCTTGGAGTTTGTCGCTAATTTTTCTCTTGTAGACCGATCTTCCCGATAACAAAGACACTGAGTCGACTTTCATCCCGATCAACCCCCGAGTTCACGTCTCTCCAACTCAATTGGCGTGGAAGCCATTCCCGATCCCTGACGGCCAAGATCTGGACTTTGTCGATGGCCTCAAGACTGTCGCCGGCTCCGGCGATCCAACTCTTCGGGAAGGTCTCGCCACTCATGTCTACCTTTGCAATAAGAGCATGACGAAAAGAGCCTTTGCAAACTCCGACGGCGACTGGCTTATTGTGCCTCAGCAAGGTGCCCTAGACATCCAAACCGAGTTCGGTTTCTTGTACGTGCAGCCTGGTGAGATTTGCGTTATCCAGCGTGGTCTTCGCTTCAAGGTCAATGTCGAAGGACCGACTCGTGGGTACATCCTAGAGATCTGGGGTTCAAACTGGGAGCTTCCCGAGTTGGGTCCTTTGGGAGCGAACGGGCTGGCCAACGCGCGCGACTTCCTGCACCCGGTTGCCGCATACGAGGTTACGAAAGACGACCCCTGGGATATCGTGTACAAGATCGGCGGAAAGTTCTTCAACAGCACACAACGGCACTGCCCCTTCGATGTGGTTGCGTGGCATGGAAACTACGTCCCGTTTAAGTACGATCTCACCAAATTCGTCAATGTGGGCTCTATCTCTGTGGACCACATTGATCCGTCCATCTTCTGTGTCTTGACAGCCAAGTCGCGTGATCCAGCCGCGCCCCTGGCCGACTTCTTGATCTTCTCCCCTAGATGGGACGTCGCATCTCACACCTATCGCCCGCCCTACTACCACAGAAACTGTGCATCTGAGCTGATGGGCCTGATTTACGGCGAATACGGAGGTCGGTCTGACGAGTTCCAGCCCGGAAGTATCTCATTCGAGTGTGGATTTGTGCCTCATGGCGTTGCATATGAGCAATTCGCTGCTGCGTCCAAGGCGGATCCCCCTCAAATGCAGATCTCGCTCGGCTCCATTGCCTTCATGTTTGAGACGAGCCGAGCTCTCACCATCACCGACTATGCTTGGAACAGCAAGGAGAAGCATGAGCACGATCCCAAGATGTGGGATGACTTGGTCGACAATTTCTCCCAGTTTGAAATTGACCCTAAACTTTTGAGGTCTAACAAGGCAAACCACCTGAGTTGAGCACTTGTAGGCGAGGAGAGATTTTGAACGAGTTATACTTAACATGATTCAGTGGCTTCGTATCGCCGGGAAAGCTACGTAGTATAGAATAAAGGAAGGCAACGAACGATTCCATCGATGTTATTAATGAACTAATAGTTGAAAGGGAATTTGTGACGAAACTGTTTCTTGCAATCACCAAATAAGACTGTAAGTAAGGTGGCTGATCTGGCCTTCTCGGTAGATAGTACATATGCCCTCCAAACTTTGGACGTATCGAGGCCCTACTTCTGCGGTGGCCAGGAGGATACTTAACCTGCAGTCTCAGACAATAGGATTGTAGAACCTCATCCGATTCTGAGGATCCCATTTCGCCTTCAGCCCTCTCAACTTTTCCAACCTCCATTCGTCCCATCCATAAACAGCCTCGAGTGACTCAATTCCATGAGCATAATTCACATATGCCCTTAAGCGCTCAGGCTCGTGGCTTGCCTCGAGCAGATGCCCCCTGAGTTTTGCTCCGTACTCTTGAGCAAGCTCATCAAGAGACGAGTTCGGCTTGTACATGATGTACGACGTAACCAAAATATCATCGTCTCGGTGCGGGAAAGCTGAGCTCTTCTCATCGACGGCTTTCACCCCGTGAGTCGAATATCCCTCAAGGAGAAAGAAAGACCCGGCAAATTCAGGGTTGCGGTTCGACATGTCGGCAATGTCATCAAATACTTTCCGGACGGCGGGCAAGTCATAGGTCTTCAGGCCGATCGGGTATCGCAGGCCCGTGTAGCCTTTGGCGCATCCCACACTATCACTGCTCATGAAGGTTAAGCCAGCCAAGTCTGGCATAGGTGCCATACCAGCCTCCACGTTTATATGATCAATATCGTAGAGAGGCTTCGCATACTCTGTAGACTTTTCGAAGGTGTCGTCCGATATGATGGCGTACCAGATGATGGGCTATCCTCATTTAGCGGTCGTGATTCTCTTCGAAAATAGGCGCTTTTGCGGGATGATGGACTTACTCGCCTGGGGTCGATTTCAGGGATGTTGACAAAATACATCCAATGCGTAACTTCTGGCGGCTGAGTCTTCATCATCTCGTTGGTCAGATTGAGAATCTCCTCAAGCTTATCGCCGAGATAAATGAGTATTTGATAAGACCACTTGGTGTTCTTGACATCGTGGACTCGGTACTGCCACTCAGTGACGATGCCAAAGTTGTGGCCGGCTCCCCTCAAAGCCCAGAAGAGGTCGAGATTCTCGCCATCGGACGCTGTGACGAGCTTCCCATCGGGAAGAACAACTTTGGCCGAGATGACTTGGTCCGAAGCCAGCCCATACTGGCCCTGAAGCCACCCGTGGCCACCTCCCAGAACTGGGGCAGAAATGCCAACGCACTCGCAAATTCCTGTCACTTTTCATTGTCAGCAAAACTTTGAGAGTCGGAAGGATTGACTTCTACGATGACACACCTGTTTGCTTGCCTGCTGCCCACAGGGTACTGACAACCTCCTTAACGCTTGCTCCGCCTCCAATTGTGGCAGTCTCGCCATCTTCAGAGATGACAACTTGGTCCATGCCGCGAAGGTCGATAGACACCACATTCTTAGCTAGATGGAGCGATTCTGTTGCACCGTGACCTCCAGACCGGGCAAGAAAATGAAGTCCCTGCTCATTTGCGAAATGAACCTGTGAAAAATGGTTATTTTTGCTAAAGAGCAGACAACTCGCAGCACGCAGGGCATACTATTGCTTGGATATCATTCTCGGTGAACACGTTGACCACAACTCCCACGTCCGGTGCGTGCCAGTCTCGCCATCTACTAGTGTAATCGTTGAAGAGGGGTCCACCTGGAAAAACAACTGATGCATTGGGTGACAACTGTGTGGATAAATGTGTCCATGAGCTAGTGTCCTGGGACATCAAGAACGTCAAACCCAGACGCCCAAGGATGTTCTGCGATGAAACCGTTTGGTTCAAAGCCCAGGAGAGGCCAAGAGCAAGCACTTCCATCTTCAGTAGAAAAGCAACATCTGGCTCAAACAAGTTGTGCAGATCAACTGTTATGAGGCGTGCCGTGAAGTCTTCGAGAAGACCGCAATGCTGACATCACGTGCTGTGATCGATTGAAGTTGATTGTATGATGGAACCAGGTCCTGCTGACGTGAGATCGGCAACATCTAGGGCTAGGGTGCTTAGGGCGGTTTCTATGAGCGGCACGCAGGTAATACCCGGCGACAAGGTTAACCAGTTGGCTGCAAAAAAACGATGACATCGAGAATATATTTCACTTGTAATTGGTTTTTATTGTGATATCGATCTGGCAAGGTATCTATCCTCATATCACAAAAGCGTCTCAAAAAATCGACTCCCACTTTCTAGCTGCGAAAGCACTGGCCCTAAATTTATTCGGCATTCAAGTTGGCATGGTTCACCTAAGTGAGTGAACTTCGAGCGGCACAGCATCTGCAGTGCATGGGATCCAATAAACGGCCTCGATGAGTGTATCCATCACATGATCTTGCCTGGTTACATCCGTCAACACAAATCAGGCTGACTGGCAGAGACTGTGTTCATCATGCCTCTCAAACAAAGCGTTATGCGGTCTTAGGCCTGCTGTCGATCTCAGCGCTTGACCCAAGATCATGGCGACTGTCTTACGCAAAGCTTCGAGATTGAAGCCGGATATACGACTTATGCAAGAAGTCTCGAAGTTTGAAGCTTCCCTCAGCTCTGCACAGAAGGCATCTTTTAAAAAGGAGCGTTCTGCAGCATGCGCGAAGCCTCCAACAACAGCCGATGTGATGCAATTCACGGCCAGAATCGACCATGAAGCTCGCCAAAAGCGCCTCATCCCGATGTTTTGGACCTCGCCTGACCAACTTGCTTCAGGCAGTCCAGCAATTTGCTGCCTTGGGCGATGTGGTGGTTGGCGGGTCTCAGAACATTGTCGCGTGCGGGGTCTGGGCAGCAGTCAGGATGACATTACACGCAAGTAACTCCGAAATGAAGATATCTCAATAATACTAACGCTCTCTTCAAGATTTGTATTGGTTTCTCGTCATACCTTGAGAAGCTTTCTTTGCTTTTTATGGCGGCTGGTCGACAAGCACCTCGGCACCAGGCAATGTCCTTGATCTATCCGAAATCTAAAGCATTGCGGAACCACCTATGCGAGTACTTCATCGTTGTTACTCAGATTTGCAATCACGTACGGTCTTTTCCGCAGCAGTCGATGTTGAGCCAACTGGCTGCTTCTCTCAATGACTCGGATCTAAAGGGTTTTCAATCTGACCTTGACCTATGGTCAACATCAATAAGGGAGGAGGCTAATCTACTTCTGAATCAACACCTCAAGACCGAGGCTAAACTGAGTGCGGATGCACGATTAACGACAGCTCGATGGACAGCATCTACAGCTCAAAGATTTGACGTCGAAAAGAAGATGAAATGGCTCGAATATTGTTCTACTTACGATTTCCAGACAACTTGGAAGCAGATGCAAAAGCTTGGTTTAACATCCTTGCTCCATAACTCGGACGACTATCAGCAGTGGAAAAGGCACGACTCTTCAGCATCAATATTGTTCAGTGGCAGAATAGGCGCCGGAAAGTCAGTCACGATGGCTAACGTCGTGAGTGACTTGAGCCGTGACAACGAAGCCACTGTTATCTACTTCTTCTGCCGATATGACATCCCGGAAAGCTTGAAGCATCGCACGATTCTTGGGAGTTTGGCGAGACAGTACCTCAACTATTTTCCCGCCAACAGCGATGTCTTCAACAATGAAACACAATCACCGCAGCTAGGCATCGAAGACTTTGTCCGCATTTTGGAAACTGATTCCAGGAGAAATGGACAGAGATACATCATTATGGATGGTCTAGACGACTGTAGAGCCGGGGAGCGTCAAATCGTTCTTCAGCAGCTTTTGGAAACCCAACAGCCATCATCAAGATGGCATCTGGCTATCTCAGCTCAATTATCGGCCGATGACTTTGTGAGGATCAATCTAAAGCCGACTTGGAACGTTCCGCTTCCAACTGAGAACCCGGACATCGAGTTTTTCATTGATGTTGAAATCGAATCCCGGGTTGGAAATGGAGTCTTGGTTGTCGGGGATCCGAGATTGATCCAAGACATCAAAGAGGCTCTCCTGCGAGGGGCGAATGGAATGTAAGTCTCAATGTCTGAACCACGATTCTAAGCCTGGCTTCATTTTTCTTTGCAGCCTTGCTTCTAAAGTTACTCACACATCATATGACAGGTTTCTTTGGGTGGCTCTCCAACTCGATGCTATATGCTTAGAGATCTCTGACTACGACATCAGAGAAACAATCAAATCACTTCCCCGCGATCTCACCGCAACTTATACTCGGATATTGCAAAAGTCGACAGCCCAAGATCGAGAGAATTACCATAGTCGGATCTTCAAGTTCCTCGCCGCAGCATATGAGCCATTGACTTCAGCTCAAATCTGCGAGATGGCAAGCGTCGCCATAGGGGACGGGACATATGATCCTTCCAGACAGATAAACAACATCGACAAAGTTCTTGGCTTCTGCGGAAGCTTGATCGTGGTGGATGAAGAGGAGAAGACCGTGCGATTCGTACATCACAGTGCCAAGAGCTTCTGTCAAGTTTCCATCGACAAAACCTCAGTGTGGCAGTTCACGAAAGAGGAAGCTCACAATGAACTTGGTGGCACAATTCTAACGTACTTGAACTACACTATCTTCGAAACCAAGGTTTCTACGAATGTAGTCCCGGTATTTGATGCAGGCAAAATCTCAACTGAAATCATGCGTCAAACTTTCCACAATTCGTGGAGCCCCGTACGCCTAGCTGGGAGCTTTGTCAAGCCGAAATCAGCCCTCACCCGCGATATTGACCATGTTCTCGCACAAAACATCAACCAGCCAAGCACAACCACGATCAATCACCCTTTTCTTCCATATGCAAAAGCATACTGCTTACTACATACCCGATGTGCCATAATGCCCTCCGCTCAACACATGTGGCACAGCGTAGTTAGTGAGCTTGATCTGTCGAGTCTTCCGCCCTTACCTTGCGTGGCAGCTGCCTGGGATCAAACAACTGTACCTCAAGAGCTATCTGAGTCTGCAGCGTTGTTTTGGTCCATCAAAAACTCCCATGTTCCAATGTTCAACTATGTCACGAATATCGGCCATGACAAGTTGTCTCTTCGGTCACAGTCATTACGTCTACTGGCACTTCTTCGGATTTTCAAAGCACTGTCGGCGGTTTCGATTATTTCGAGATTCTATACTACGTCTCTCGGTCCGGAGATCGAGTCTCACATGGCCACTCGCTTGCTTTCTTTCTCTTTTCCCTTGAAAACCTTCAAAGTTTCTGCATGGCTTGCAGACCATATCCAGTCAACTCCTCACGGCAGCGAAAACTCAAAAGACGATGAATACGTAGATATGCCCGGTACAGTGACGGTCACATCTCTCATAAATCTAAATCAACCGTCAGGGATCTTTCAACTTGATGCAACCGACACGCAGGTAGCTATAGTTCGAGGTTTCCCAAGTGTGGGGAGTGTTTCTCTCACGTGCAAGATGCTACCGGACCAACCCGAAGATCACGTCTCATTATCTCAACAACTGTTGTATACACTTCAAAGCAATGCCCCACAGGAATTACTCCTAAGACAGTGCTGTCGGCTTGTCCAGAAGGGTCACAGCGTGAAATATCTTGGCAGTTCAAGGATATACTCTATCCTTAAGTTGTTGACAGAAGATTATGGCCACAACCGATCGATCGCCAAGGATATTATTAATAGGATTATTGACTCAAATTCTATTGGAGGCGAAATTCGGTATCAGATCTTCCGCCGTGCTTGCGTTATGGGAAACATCGAAGTAGCCCGGATGACGCGGTCGACAGCAGATCACCAAGGAAAGCCCAATAGACCCTACCAAGGAGATGAGATGAACCTTGCTTTAGAAACCATTTCTAAAGAGAGATTTGAGCTAGCAGCATGGCTTCTTGCCAACGGCGCACCTCCGCATGGCTCTGATTGCTCTGGGTTCCCAGTCCTTCACCGAGCCATGTTGTTGAGAAACTGGCATTTGGCGGCATCTTTGGTCGCACACAGAGCCTCAATATGGGGCTTGCCTCCGTTCTGCTCCGAAAAGGAGATATTTCATGCTTGCGTTCAGAGTCTTGACCTCGCTGGCATTGTGTTTCTGGCCGGAGCAGGGTATCTTGATGCCATGCATATGGTATCTTCAGGGCCTGAGTTTGCTCGCTTGGCTAAAATACAGGGGACATTACCATGGGATATCAAAGATTTCGACCAGTTCCGACTACATTTAACCAGAAACATGATGGTTGAAGGGATCGTCGAGGATTCCGACCTGTTTCAACTTCATTTAATCAAAAGCCTGATGATCCAAGCTTTTGAAGGTGGTAGGCTGCGATTGCAGAGCATGAGGGCCAATCGGTTTCCGCTCTCACCTGAGCAAGTGTTGGCATGCCATTGAAGTGCATTCCCCAAACAGCTAATACCTTAGGAACCAAATAGACCCCGAGCTTCAGTTTTCAGACA